TGAAACTATATACAACAAAAAGGTGATTATCAAATTATCCTGAATGTCCCAGTTATCCTAGTGCAAGTGTAATTCTATCCTAGTTCAATTAACTAACCGTATTCGATATAAGATATTAATAATGAACTGTTTATATTAGAATGCGTGCAAGATATCTATAATGTTCAAAGTACTGTCAATTCTCGACAACCAGGGACGTAGCGAAGATGTGCTAGTTGGGCGGGTGCAATGCAGTAATTTTCCTGATTTTACACTATTGTAAAAATTTACCTGAAAGATAAACCATTAAACCCCCTATCTTTGTGCACTGCAATGTTATGGTGCATTTCTCCCCTGCACAGTTATCACCTAGATATTTAACCCACATCTATTTTTACAACATATTTTTCTTGCTTTTTCAATCTACTTTTTCTCATTAGAATATGTTTGGGTTATTTTTGTTCTTCTAAATTAAAGAGTATAAGCCACACGAGAAGAACACGAGCATATACAAACCGAGTACTCCAAACTCCGAATAGAACTCCACTCATTTTATCAATTAGGTAGTTAAATCTAAAATACCATGACCACATTGATTAGTTACCTCTCGGCCTACCAATAACTATAGTCAATTTTAACAAGTCTTTGTCGAAGCAGTCCATCCGCCTTTTTTATGTAGGGAAAGGTGTAAATTTATATAATTTATATAATAAAGATAATTTTTAGCTGAACTAGAACTGCTTTTCCCTATACAATGAACAATAATGTTACATAGTAGTTATTTGTTAACTAATGTTTTTAACCTTCAATATAGTAAGTTATTGTTTTCAAGCAATCGCCAATCGGCGGTTTTTCAAGATTGACCATTTTTTCGTGATCGCAGTAACATCAAAGACATCAGTGATATTCTTTTCAGCGGCAAGGATCATGCAATCATTCAAACGTTTTCCAGATATTTTATTGCGTGAATAACTTTTTACAATCTTCAGTAAACTAAATGATCTCTCATTTTTCACAACGGCAGGGGCGGCTGTCAGAAATAGTTTATAAATCTCTGAAGCCAACTTGAAAAGACCATGCCCCTTGGCCACCCTAAGAGCAATGTCCGCTGCGATCGTACATGACATGTGTTTTGCCTCAAGACCTTGTGGCCGGCTGACGTTCTTCTTCCATTCGTCTGTGTTCCTTCAGCGCATATTTAAAGAAAACGGACAATTCGCTGTGTAATGCTGGGCTTTGTTCCTGGTGTTTCTGGATGCAATACCTTTAGGAACGGATTAAAAGTGTTCTTAAGACCAATTTGTTTCTGCATTAATCCTCGTTTTTGTTTGTCCTCGTTTATGAAATTAATATAATTTCTTGCACGTACCTTGACCTTGTGTAAAGAGCCAAAACCGTAAGCGCATGCGCATGTTACTTTAATAGCGAAAAAATTCTGGTTTTTTTGCTGATGGAAATAGTAAAATAGACAACATATTCTTTTCGTAAAATAAAGCCTGGCTACATTGAAAAAACGGAAACCTCTGAAGTTCTGAACGTATCAACGTATGAAGCCATAAAGAATTAAAACCTCATCTATTTTCCGCATTTCAATCCTCTATTATTTGCCTGTTATTGTTATGGGTTTTCAAGATTTTTTACCTGATTTATTATAATGCCAGTTTTTCATGGATTTACCTGAAATTTTCAAATCGTCTTAGTTGGGGGGGGGGGGGGGGGGTGTCACCCCCCCCCGGTCGCTACGTCCCTGGTTGCTACCGCAGCAAGGTATAACCCTGGAAAAATCATTGTAAACAGCGCGTGCGGAAATACAAATACCTGCCTTGCCCAACACATATGTGCAAAAATAGCGATTTTTAATTCCTCCTCCTCCCGGTATGGCCGGTTCATCGTTGACAGCTTACAAATTAGTTAGGTTAAAGCTTTGTCAAATGCATGTCAAAACCAGCATTGGTATGTGTATGCGATCAGTAATACTTTATGTCAACGAAATTTTTGCAATGATTGTGGTAAAGCAGTAATAGTCCTCATTATTTTTGTAGGAAGTGAAATTTCGAATTACAAAGTGCACTGCATTATGGCCGTTGTTGCTACTTGTACTACATGTATTGGGTGCAGATATTAAATCATTATAATATTATTCATATGTTAATCCACAAAAAAAAAACACTTTTATTTAAATAGAAAGCGTGAGCCCAATGGATTAGTTGTTAACTGTAAGCTCAATATATTACATTGGAGTCAGCTTTTCTTGGCATCTCTCCTATATCACTGAATCATAGTTTTGGTGCTTTTAAAATTGTTTGGTTTCTAATATAAAAAAGCCGAAATTAATTTTTGAAGGAGAGAATAGGCAGAGCAGCAACTGACTTGTCTTCAATCTTGTAACACAGAGATAGCGGATATTTCAAAATACATTCACGGAAAATATGGAATAACTACTATATTACGAAAATATATTTAGCATCAAACTTTTCCTTAGCCTCATGCATTGTAATAATAGATTCTTTTTGTTGTTTTTTTAATAATCTATTACGAAAATAGTGTGAAAATTTTTGAAATAAACATCTGCACACTACAAACAATCGCGTATTAATACACAAATTTATGTATTCAATAAAAGTTTACATCAAATTATATACATTATCTAAATACAATCATATACCCAATCATATACTCATTCGAAGGTTAACTCTGAAGCAACGGAGTGAGATAAATTTCATTAATTCACGCCAATATCAGAGTTTGTGCGAGATTCCCGTGTATAGGGACACCACGAAGAGTCAAAAAGAAAGCAAACTGATACACATTAATTTAATTTTTTTGTATATTTATTTAAAGTTTTTTTCTTAGTACGGTACTCACACTGTTATTTTCAGGGAGTTAAAATAACTCCCCTATTACTCCTTTTTAGTGGAGTTAAAATTTTAGGGCTACGTTAACCCCATTTCAGGAGTTAAAGTAACTCTCATTGAGGAGTAAGGGGATACGGGCGAATAATTAGTATGCAAAATTAACTCTTGATGGTGGAGTTATTCAGATATAACTCCATTTATTGGAGTTATTTG